AACTCTTATTACGTGATAGTCATTGTGTTTCGTATGAAAACCACAGAACCAAGTTGAGATATCTGATGTCCCCCAGTCAGATCTACATCAGACAAAACCATACTGTATAAACTCTCATTATTTGATGCACATTGTGTTTCTTAGGAAAGCCAAAGAATCTAAATGACACTCCAGATCTACATCAGACAGAACCATACTGTATAAACTCTCATTATTTGATGCACATTGTGTTTCTTAGGAAAGCCACAGATTCTAGATGACATGTCAGATCTACATCAGACAGAACCATACTGTATAAGCTCTCATTATTTGACACACATTGTGTTTCTTAGGAAAGCCACAGATTCTAGATGACATGTCAGATCTACATCAGACAGAACCATACTGTATAAACTCTCATTATTTGATGCACATTGTGTTTCTTAGGAAAGCCACAGATTCTAGATGACATGTCAGATCTACATCAGACAGAACCATACTGTATAAACTCTCATTATTTGATGCACATTGTGTTTCTTAGGAAAGCCACAGATTCTAGATGACATGTCAGATCTACATCAGACAGAACCATACTGTATAAACTCTCATTATTTGACACACATTGTGTTTCTTAGGAAAGCCACAGATTCTAGATGACACGTCAGATCTACATCAGACAAAACCATACTCTATAAACTCTCATTATTTGATGCACATTGGGTTTCTTAGGAAAGCCACAGATTCTAGATGACATGTCAGATCTACATCAGACAGAACCATACTGTATAAACTCTCATTATTTGAACATTGTGTTTCTTAGAAAGACAGATTCTAAATGACATGAGATCTACATCAGACAGAACCATACTGTATAAACTCTCATTATTTGATGCACATTGACAGAACCATACTCTATAAACTCTTATTGGTTGTTTCTTAGGAAAGCCACAGAATCTAGATGACACGTCAGATCTACATCAGACAGAACCATACTGTATAAACTCTCATTTTTGACACACATTGTGTTTCTTAGGAAAGCCACAGAATCTAGATGACACGTCAGATCTACATCAGACAGAACCATACTGTATAAACTCTCATTATTTGACACACATTGTGTTTCTTAGGAAAGCCACAGAATCTAAATGACACGTCAGATCTACATCAGACAGAACCATACTGTATAAACTCTCATTATTTGACACACATTGTGTTTCTTAGGAAAGCCAAAGAATCTAAATGACACGTCAGATCTACATCAGACAGAACCATACTGTATAAACTCTCATTATTTGATGCACATTGTGTTTCTTAGGAAAGCCACAGAATCTAGATGACACGTCAGATCTACATCAGACAGAACCATACTGTATAAACTCTCATTATTTGACACACATTGTGTTTCTTAGGAAAGCCACAGATTCTAGATGACATGTCAGATCTACATCAGACAGAACCATACTGTATAAACTCTCATTATTTGATGCACATTGTGTTTCTTAGGAAAACCACAGAATCTAGATGACACGTCAGATCTACATCAGACAGAACCATACTCTATAAACTCTCATTATTTGATGCATGTTGTGTTTTTTATGAAAAACACAGAATCTAAATGACACGTCAGATCTACATCAGACAGAACCATACTCTATAAACTCTTATTACTTGATGCATGTGTTTCTCATGAAAGCCACATCACCTAGTTGATTCATTAGATATCTACAGCATATTAATTTGAAAATTGAATTATTAATTAGATTTCTTACCACCTATATTGAGATTTGGTCCAACAATATTACATGTCCAATATCTAAAGACTAGTGCATACAGTGTTTAGTTTATGAATGATAATGATTTTGAATGCAATGGCCACATCTACTGAATTCTAACCAGAAGGGAACTGATGCTCGTGAAGGTGTTATGAAGATAGATGTTTGTGTGAAATAAATTTTGGGCAGGTAGATCAATATCTGGTGTGTCCACCATGTTGCCCGGTACATCCACAACTTGTGTATGGTTGCTCTTTGTTTTGCTCACCATTCCCGTGGAAGAGATACCAGAAGCTCAGGCCATGAAGAAAGGTGCTGGCTCTCTGATGGACCCTTTCCACCCAAGAACATCCCCAAAATGCTCTATTGGAGACTGGGCGGTGGGGTAGCCTTGTGGGTAAAGCGTCACCCTGAAGACACTAGTTCGATTCCCCACATGGGTACAATGTGTGAAGCCCATTTCTGGTGTCCCCCGCTGCGATATTGCTGGAATATTGCTAAAGTGGCATAAAACCATACTCACTCACTCTATTGAGGACATGTCAGGGGACTTTGCAGGCTAGTGCTTCCATATGCTTTCAGACAGGAGATAATCAGTGATTACCTTGGTACTCTCTGGTCTGGCATTGGCATCTTGCAATGGATAATTGCTGCTGATAATTCAAGTGAATAGGACAATGACTGGATGGACACTTTCATGAACATGTCACTGCCCAGTCAAAGGGGTGGTGGGGTAGCCTAGTGGGTAAAGCGTCCGCTTGTCACCCTGAAGACCTGGGTTCGATTCCCCACATGGGTACAATGTGTGGAGTCAATTTCTGGTGTCCCCCGCCATGATATTGCTGGAATATTGCTAAAAGCGGCGTAAAACCGTTCTCACTCACTCACTATCCAGTCAAATGTTCATTCACCACAACCAAATCAGTTTGCCTGTGACATGTGAAAACCCCCACCCCACAGTATGTGCTACCACCCATATACCATTCATGGACAAGAATGGTTGCCCTGGAATAAAGTTTGCCACTATGCCACTGACATCGTTTTCTGCCATCTGTGAATAGGGAGCAAAATCTTGATTTATCTATAAACCTAGGATGATATCATTTGTGCATAACTCGTCCATGTTGCTGCCGAGACCACCCTAATCTTTGATGTCTTCGATAAGCAGTGAGAGTCACACTGGTCACAGGATTCCTTGCTTTCAGGCAGCCTACATACAGACAGATCTTGATGTGGATGTTGAAATTTACCCTCTTGTTATTGTGTGGAATTCTCTATTGATAACAAGGGCAGATTTGAATCTATTGCATGGTGCAATCAAAGTAATGAGATGGTTTTGTCTCAGGTTCACATTTTAGGCATGAACCCGTGAAGGTCCGGGTTAGAATATTGCTTGTCGTAAGAGGCGACTAACGGGATCGGGTGGTCAGGCTTGCTGACTTGGTTGACACATGTCATCGGTTCCCAATTGCGCAGATCGATGCTCATGCTGTTGATCACTGGATTGTCTGGTCCAGACTCAATTATTTACAGTCCGCCGCATTATAGCTGGAATATTGCTGAGTGCGCATAAAACTAAACTCACTCACTCACTCATTTTAGGCCTGACCCTCCCAGGTGCCATTGCAACCCTGTTTGTTAGTACTTGTTTTTTGCAACTGTTAATATTGAGGCCCACAATTCACCATTTTGTCTGGTCATTGAGAAACTCCCTGAGGCATTTTAAAGCATGTGCTCAGCAAAAGTGCATTATTGATTGTGAGTTTCCCTGTAAATGCATATAACTGGCTTCGTTGTGTACACATGCATCATGTGCATGATGAAATTTTCTGTGATTAGATGTTGCATTCAGATGCAATGCCACAGTATTTCATGTGTACATCTCGATGGAAGAGTGAGTGAGTGAGTGAGTGAGTTTAGTTTTACGCCGCACTCAGCAATATTCCAGCTATATGGCGGCGGTCTGTAAATAATCGAGTCTGGACCAGACAATCCAGTGATCAACAGCATGAGCATCAATCTGCGCAATTGGGAACCGATGACATGTGTCAACCAAGTCAGCGAAACTGACCACCCGATCCCGTTAGTCGCCTCTTACGACAAGATAGTCGCCTTTTTATGGCAAACACATGGGTTGCTGAAGACCTATTCTACCCCGGATCTTCACGGGTCTCTCGATGGAAGAGGCAACTGACAGTAGCAGGTGTTCAGATTTGCTGACTTGGTTGACATATGTCATTGTATCCCAATTGCTGGTGATCACTGGATTGCTTGGTCCAGACTGGTTACAGACAGCTGCCATATAGCTGCAATATTGCTGAATGTGGCATTAAACCATAAGGAAACAAACCATCTTGATGATAGCTACAATCAAAACATTTGTCTCCTATTATTATGGTATATGTAATCAGTGTTTAAAACTCCCAAAATTCCAAGCTAGATAGCTGGACTGGTAACTTTAAAAAATTACCAGTCCGGATACAAACTTGCCTGTCCGGTTTTCAACAATAAAAACCAAACAAAATCAGGTTAGTCAGGTTACTGTTTGTAGGCATCGTAATGAACTACACAGCACAAACGTCCAATGCACCGAGTTTAGGTAAACTGAAAGTACACGTGTTGTAATTGGTTATTGTAACATGAACTGTCCAATCGTAAGTAGTTTTACATAATCGTCATAATACCGTAAACACCTCTAACTGACGTCAAGAGAACCTGTCTGATATTATGAAATATTTACTGTTAGGGGTAAAAATATCTACCAGACCAGCGGACAGGCTACTTTTGAAATTTGCCCGTCCGAGATGAAAATAGACCGTTCCGGACGGTCGGGCAGGCGGGAAGTTTAAACGCTGATGTAATAGCAACTTCAGCTTGATAACGGTGTAAGAATCTACATCGAAACGTCGCTCTATGCAATAAATAAGAAGTGTCATCCATAAAGATGTATGTTTCATTTTTATGTAATAGCAGGAACTTACAATGATCAGGATCATTTATTTGAATGTATACAGTACCATAAACAATAACTCCTTTCTAATCTAATACAATGTTTGTCTAGCCATAGCTAGTTAAGCATAATGTTGGCTGCAGGGTCCTATCATCAAGCTCTTCTTCTACTCGCCTTGATGAGAAACACTTTGACAAGAAGTGATTGATATTATCTACAAGTGGATTATCATATGTCAAGAAGAATTTCAATGCCTGTTTCTCATTTCAGAGTCCGTTAACTGTTTTATGAAGTGATGTAAGAACAGAGAAGGCCATTACCATCCAACAGGAAGAGAAGTCTGATGTTATCCGTGTTTTTGGTGCATTATACATTCTCACAGACGACAAACTCAAGTGGAAACTGTTGATTTCTACAAAGTTGGTCTGACGACTGGGTAACACTTCTGATATCACACTTGAGGGTGATGTCATGGTGTGAGTTTTATCAGCAGGACATATGATATAATCGCTGGAACAAATACATCACGATGATGACTTAATGCACCTGCCCTTTGCACTGCAAGAAATAATCATGGATGGTGTTTGTGCCCATATGAAACTGCTACAGAAGATCCTTCACACATGGAACCCTGTGATGAGTGGCTGGGATACTGCAAGAGTGGATATATTATAACGGTATATTTAAGAAACTCTTCATATTCAAATTAATTACAACATTCTGACCAAATCTTACACAAACGGAGAAATTATTCAAGAGGATGACTTATTGAAATGTGTTTCTACATTGTTTAGTGGATGTGTCTGGATGTGTTAATTTGCAGAAAATATTTTCTGTTTCCGATTTGTGTTCTTGAAGCTTCAGTGATCTGTGGTAAACAGACTGTTTTTGGTGGAGCGTACTTGTTATGAAAGAACCAGTTGTGTGTATAATACCCAGTGCAAGTTGATGACAGCTGCAGACTGTGTGGAATACTTCTGGATTTGTTTTACAAAACAATATTAACAAAAACTGTAGTGAATGCATTACACTGGATCTCCATGTGTTGAAATCATTGAACCGTAAGTGATTTCATGAATGTTATTATAGAAGAAAATGCCTGGATAGAACGTCAGCTGACTCTGGAGTTGTAAACTCTGCACCAATCCTTGTGGTATATACTCTGTGTTTAATTATCAGTGAACACCTTTTGCTGTTGTTTTGATGTGTCAACTGAAACTCCAGCCTTGTTAGACTGTCTGTGATACCATCATCAGAAACAACTTTAGTTGATGTTCAAACCCCTGTCCAGTGTTTTTATCACCATTACCTGTTCAGACCTACTGCAAGAGCCCATCCTTTTCTCAGAGACCATTTTTGAGAGTCTTCTTGCAGACTTGAAAACAAGAACTGCCAGAAAACTCTAAAAGGCCTTTTATGTATTTGCAAGCTCGTGTCTGCCTGGATTCTATTGGTGAGGGTTGAGTGTGTATTTAGCCCCTCCACTTTGAGCGGACCTCAGCCCGGACATCTCCACATCACCCTCCCACCTCCATCCCAATATCTCCTAAAGTGTGCATTGATTGTAAAGAAACACCAGGTTCACACTCCTTGTGACCAGTAGCGTCCTCTGCCCTCTGCCTGTTTGGAACCTTCCTCTGCTTGCTAGCAAATCTGCGAGCAACTGTTGCCTCCAGAGACTGGCTATTGATGTTCCGAGGAACCAACGCTCTGTTGGCCCCTTTAATGACTACTGCATATGTTGCAACAGCCAGGCATGGGATATAGGCGTTGAATACGACTCTGCTGGTGATACAAGCTGGCATTGATAGAAGCAGCCTATGGTGGGCTGAGACAGGCAGATTCATGTTATCAGATTGCTCAATAATAAGATCCTGATCGGAGAGTTTGATAGCAGCATATGTGAAATCTGTGCTACCTGTATGAGCTCTTCTGATTGGAGGAGAAGACAAACAGGGGTGTGGCTTTAAAGCAAAGTTTGAATCATTTCCTGCTTTTTTGAAAAGCAATTTATAAAGGTGGAAACGTTTGAAAACTTGAAAATCATTTGAAACTCATTTAGTGTGAGAGTTGTATTGAGGTTGTGGTTACTGACTGATTTGTTAGTGAGGAGTGATCTCACACTAGAAGACATAAGAGAAAACGTTTGTCCCTGGAGTTTTGTTGACAGGATTTGAGACAATTCACACACCTAACTAAAGACCATTTGTGGGTTTTACTCCCAGTGAACAAGATTGTTACAAGATTGTGCTGCAAGTGTTTTCTTCTAGCATCAGCTGAACTGACTGGTATACTCTTCTGTCTGTCTACAAATATTGAGCCAGCGGAGACATATAAAGACACAGTTTGACATTTGGATGCACCGTCAAGTCTGATGGCACCAAAGCTTGGTGAGTAGACAATTTAATCTTTTGTCTTCTGCTAAATGACAGTCGGCTGACACAATATAAGCCGACTACATCTGGTAAATGTCTTAGAACTTTGGTAAGAGAGCATTCTACATACCTGAAAAAACATTACATGTTTACCAAGTTTATTAAACAACACAATTCAGATCACATGGTATACTATGCAGGAAAAATTGGTTTTATTATGGTAAACACTGTATAAAGTAACATTAAAGATGGATCCTCTCATAGTTCCCACTTTACAATTCAGATGGTAAAAATTGGAAACTGAGTTATTTTCATACAGTTGCTGATAATATCTGTTTTATTGTCAGGTAGATTTTAGAATATATATTTTTTGTTTCAAACTGATGATCTGCACATTGGTATTATGGCGATGTCTTCTTTCTCTGTACTTCCTCTGACAGCCAGAGTTTCAAACTATTCAAGCCATGTACATTAGACATAATGCACATGTATATCATCATCAAGTATATATTAGTACAAGGAATTTTGTGCAGTTGCTAAGGCAAATCTTTCAGTTTTCAAAGGTTTGTGAAATAATGATGCAAGATCAATTGATGAACAAAGAAGAATTAATAACTGTGAAGAAACTAAATAATTAATAGATTGTAGTAAAATGTTTCCTGTGAGGAATCTGTCAACAAACCATTACAGAGTCACGGTTCCAGTTGAAATAGTTCTCATGTATAATTTGTCTGTTGTTTCTTGCCAGTGGGGATTTCTTCCACTATGTTCTTGCCACTAAAGATCTCAAAGTTCCTTCAGAGGATCAGGTTTTCCTACAACTTATAGTAAAATTTCCGAAATTGCACCAGCATGTCAAGCATCATAACTCTGAAGTTTTTAATCAGATAAAATTTGTGTTGTAATAGAAACAGTCTGAGTGTTCAAATTTTGAATTTTAATATGAATGTTCAAATTTTAATTTTAATACAAATTTCACTTAAATGTTATTTCATCAATTCTGGATAATCCACTTTTATAATGCATCAATATTTATAAAACTTTTATATACTTGAACAATTCAAAACTCAAATATATAGAGGTTTGAAGACAGGCATGAATATTTCAGGATTAAATTAAGGTTTGTGTGAAGATACTGAAAAATACACTAGTATTTGTTGAGGTGTCAATGGGTAAATAGCATGAGATGAGAATGTCAAAATGGCAGGGCTTATGTCACGCGGAGTTTCATTTCCATAACCGTTCCCCACCATCAGATATAGATACCACTATTAATTTACCATAGTTGAGTCATCTGTATGGCGTCATCATCATTGAATAATTGTTTTTCCTCTCTGTACTGAAACCATAGTGTCATGATTAATTTCCACATTGCCATCCAGATAGATATTGCTACTATATTGAACAACAGGTGAATGTAAGGTTAGTTCAAGGAGAAGGGTTGATTGTTAAGTTGGTAATTGAATGGTAACATTTGACACTACTACTTTATATAATGTACACATATTCAGCATCTAATTCCCTACCCACATTCGTTAGGGGGTTGGGGTTGCATGGGGTGGGGGTAGGGGTGTTATGATAGAAACAAGTTGAATGCATGACATGTTTTTTATGAATAACAACTTCTTTTTTATTCTTTACACAACATTTCAGAGCTAATTCTTGCTCCTTCATCAGGTGAAACAAAGTTGATTGAAAAAATATATTTGGCTACAAGCAATATGTCTGTTGTGAGGGGGAGGGCACCTCAAATCTCACCAGGTGGTAGGTAGCTCCTTTAAGGTGCTTAGAAAATGGTGTATTTAGGTTCACGTTTAAAGTAGTTCCATTACAGTTTATCAGTCCAAAATATCATTTATGTCTAGTATAGTCGATGTTCGAAATTTTTTAAGGAAGAGACAAGATACTGGTCATGGCATGAATACAGTATGCAGAAATTTCAAATGTAGGAGGCTTTGGGGTCCTCCTAGGTTAGCTCCTGTGATATTTCAGTACCAAGATCACTATCTTTTAACACTTGGGTCTTGATAATGATCCCTTGAATTTCTTGCTTAATTTCAAATACTTTAATTTGGAACTATTGTACATTTACCAAACATGCAAGTTAGCTTTTCTGGTGGCTCTTCACAGACGTTATGGTGACACAGATTTTGAACATATGCCTCTTGAGGGTGTTTTATAGATAAAGATGATCTTGAAATGATGTGATTCATTGTTTGTTTCCCATAGTATGGTGTAAAACCTTGTGTATAATGTACCATTTTCAATATAATTCTGATAACACCACTGGAGCTAAAGATTACAAATGTTTTCAGCAGACTTGTTTCCAAGAACCCTTAACCATCCTGTCCAGTTATGTGGCTAGTCTCTGTGTTATGTGAGTAGTTCACACTCGATGGGTGTGTCCTGTCCAGTTATGTGGCTAGTCTCTGTGTTATGGGAGTAGTTCTCACTCGATGAGTGTGTCCTGTCCAGTTATGTGGCTAGTCTCTGTGTTATGGGAGTAGTTCCCACTCGATGGGTGTGTCCTGTCCAGTTATGTGGCTAGTCTCTGTGTTATGTGAGTAGTTCCCACTTGATGAGTGTGTCCTGTCCAGTTATGTGGCTAGTCTCTGTGTTATGTGAGTAGTTCCCACTCGATGGGTGTGTCCTGTCCAGTTATGTGGCTAGTCTCTGTGTTATGTGAGTAGTTCTCACTCGATGGGTGTGGCTAGTCTCTGTGTTATGTGAGTAGTTCCCACTCGATGGGTGTGTCCTGTCCAGTTATGTGGCTAGTCTCTGTGTTATGTCAGTAGTTCACACTCGATGGGTGTGTCCTGTCCAGTTATGTGGCTAGTCTCTGTGTTATGTGGGAGTAGTTCCCACTCGATGGGTGTGTCCTGTCCAGTTATGTGGCTAGTCTCTATGTTTATGGGAGTAGTTCTCACTCGATGGGTGTGTCCTGTCCAGTTATGTGGCTAGTCTCTGTGTTATGTGAGTAGTTCTCACTCGATGGGTGTGTCCTGTCCAGTTATGTGGCTAGTCTCTGTGTTATGTGGAGTAGTTCTCACTCGATGGGTGTGTCCTGTCCAGTTATGTGGCTAGTCTCTGTGTTATGTCAGTAGTTCTCACTCGATGGGTGTGTCCTGTCCAGTTATGTGGCTAGTCTCTGTGTTATGTCAGTAGTTCCCACTCGATGGGTGTGTCCTGTCCAGTTATGTGGCTAGTCTCTGTGTTATGGGAGTAGTTCTCACTCGATGGGTGTGTCCTGTCCAGTTATGTGGCTAGTCTCTGTGTTATGTGAGTAGTTCCCACTCGATGGGTGTGTCCTGTCCAGTTATGTGGCTAATCTCTGTGTTCATGTGAGGCTCTTTTCAGTGTACAGGTGTCATATTCCAGTTATGTGGCTAGTCTCTATGTTATGTTCAGTAGAATTCTCACCTAAATGGCTATTTCTTTAATGTGTCAAAGTTTGTCCAGTTATGTGGCTCGAACTGGAATGTTATGTCATTTAGTAGTTGCACATATGTGGCCAAAAGATCTCTGTGCTCACTCACTCACTCACTCACTCACTCACTGTGTCCTTATGCACGATATTATGTGGCTAGTCTCTGTGTTATGGGAGTAGTTCTCACTTAGGAGGGTGGGTGTGTCCTGTCCAGTTATGTGGCTAGTCTCTGTGTTATGTTGAGTAGTTCACAAAAAAACTCGATGGGTTATGTCCTGTCCAGTTTATGTGGCTAGTCTCATCATGTGTTATGTTTAGTAGTTCACACTCAATGAAGTTTTCCGAATGCATGTCAAGATACCGGTTTTCGATCAGCGTATCGCAATACGTATCGTTTTCATGGCTGAACCGGTAAATACCGGTAAACCAGTTATATTGCGCAGCCCTAATACTAATACCTGTGTAACATGACAACTGATGACGTGACAACCTTATCATGTCAATACGTATGCCTGTTGCAAGTGTGCAGTATGTGTACCCATTGAAAGTATTAATGATTCAGCTAAATGCTGATACCATCACCCTAAATGTAAGGGCAACATAGCCCAGTTAGTTGAGGTGCTGCTATTCACTGTTAGAGTTCTTTCCCTTTGGTATCCCAGGAACCTATGTTGGGTTTAAATCCATGAATTGCCTTGAGTATGTTTCAGCACAATATGAGTGAGTGGGTTTCATCTAAGCAGGGTTGGATACAGCTTTTAGGTACAGTTTACAAAAAGGTGTGTGGGGGGGTGGGGTGGTGGTGAGGTTGGGATTTGTGGTGATTCAACCTTTGATAAACCACTATCCTCATATCAGATTATATTTTTTTCCTCCATCTAATTTTAAATCTTAACCACACAGCAATAATCCATGCCAGCACCTTGTAATAGCATTAAGGGGGCCGTTGAACAGTAATACTTTGCGTGAACTTCTAACCGTTCACGTTCACGCTTTTAGATAGTAGGTGTATGTAATCTAATTGGTAGCAGATGCTTTCTGTAAATGAATTATGTTTTCATTTGTTGTGGAACTGTTATTTGATACTGCAGAGGGAACTTATTCAAGAAGATTCCGAGACATCAAAGTGTTACAGATGTATTGCATCTTTACAATACTATTGCTTTTGGTGTGGCATTTAATCAATATGTTTTTTACTTACTTAGTTTACAGACCTGACGACTCAAAATTTCACAAATTTAGAATTAAATCAAGTTTTTGTTCTTCCAACCAAGTCAATCTAATTTCAGAAACATAAGAACTCTTCAAAGCGATCCAAGCGTGAATGGCAGATAACCTTTCAACTTTGCTGACTTGAGTTAAAAATGATTGAAATATAACTTGAAAAGATACTTTTTCTAAATTTTCTTCAACCACTCATTGACAATATTGTTTGTAAATGACTCTTCAATTAAGAAACTGAAAGGAACATGGTGTGGGGATCAGGAAGGGTGGTGTAAATTTGTTTGACGAAGCTGCCAGAATTGTGAGGCCGTTTGAATGTTGATTAGCCTGAGAAAACCACTGCCTTTCATCTTGTTCTCTTTCT